TTAAAAAAAAAAAAAAATCGGAAAATCTCCCAAATCTGAAACAATTCTGGTCCCAGGCATTTTAGATAATAAGAGATACTTAACCTAATTAACCAAATTAAAGACCTTATTTAAGTTTTACCAGTTTTTCCATTAATGTCTTTTGCTTACATTTTATGACCATGATACTTTTTATTGGTTATTTTATCAAGTGTTCCTCAATGATGGTTTATCTGATGTTTTCTCATGATGAGACTGAGGTTATGCAATTTGAGGAAGAGTAAAGAAATTATTACTGTTCATTGCATTATCTCATGTGGTTCATGATGTTGATTTTTTATTGATTATATTAACTATAGTGATTTACTTAAGATAATTCTGTTGGCTTCTCCACTGTAAATTTACTGTCTTTCCTTTTATTATTAATAAATACTTTGGGGAAAATTTGAGATTATGCAAATATCCTATTTCTCCATAAAGTTTTCTTCACTAATTTAATACTTTTCCATGGATCTTATCTGTAGTAATTATTTCTGTGGATATCTGCCATATGATTTTCTGTTTCTTCTTTTCCTTCTTCATTTTATTTATTTAATTGGTTATATTAGCAAGTACTCAGATATTTTATTGTGTGGGGTATAATCCAATACTTTGATTATTTTGTTGCTTACATTATTCCAGCTTCGTTTCTTCAGGTTGATTCTTGTGTTCTTTTTTTTAGTACCAGGAATTTTTTAGAACCCAGTGGTACTTAACCAGTGAGCCATATCCCCAGCCCTTTTTTATATTTTATTTAGAGATGATATTGCTGAGTTGCTTTAGGACCTGGATAAATTGCTGAGGCTGGCTCTTCTTGCCTCAGCCTCTCCTGCTGGGATTATAGGCGTGAGCCACCAACATTCAGCTTCTTGTGTTCTTTAGATAAGCGTGGGTTTTTTTTGTTTTTTTTTAAGTACTTGCTTACTTTCTGACTTCACAATATTTTCCTGACTAATCTGTATTTTCTATTCCCAGGCCTAGTAATCACTACTTCTTCATGGAGCCTTGTTTTCTTTTTTCTTTAAAAAAAAATTATTTTTTAGTATAGGTGGACACACAATACCTTTATTTTATTTTTATGTGGTGCTGAGACTCGAACCCAATGCCTCACACATGCTAGGCAAATGTACTTCCTCTGAGCCACAACCCCAGCCCAGAGCCTTGTTTTCTTTAATTGGAAAACAATGTTTACAAATTAATATCTCAGTGTTAGCTATTATCTTCATCTGTTTTATGTTGCTGTAACAAATACCTGAGCATGCTCACTATTATTGGGTGTTGATGCTTCTAGACACCCTCAGTGGTCAGAATTGGGAAATAATGTGTATGAATACTTACCTGCACATAACAAATGGGTGTACTGAATTTATATTGATGCTGGAAATTTCAGTCAAACAACAGAGGAGGGTCATTCCAGCCTTTCCCCTTCAGTTGTTGGTAACTTCTTTCTCTAACAATAGAAAACTGACTTAGATGAATAGTTATAGGTAATTACCTATATTATTTCTCCTATTCATATGAATCGTTTCAGAAAATACAAGATTAAACAGGAACATCTTGTGATGTTGGAAAGTAAGGAAGTACTTAAAAACAAAACAAAACAAAAAAAACTTACCTGATATGTTGGTACATGTTTGTAAGTCCAGCTACTAGGAAGGATAAGGCAAGAGGACCCCAAGTTCAAGGCCAACCTGGGCAACCCAACAAAACCCTTTATCAAAATAAAATTTTTTAAAAGGGCTGAGACTGTAGCTCCATGAAAGAGTGCTTGCCTAGCATGCCTGAGGCCCTGGCATCAATCACCAGTAATGCAAAAAAAAAAAAGAGAGAGAGAGAGAGAGAAAGTTTTATTGATTTACATTCCCACCAGCCATGTAGAGAAAGACTTTATTTCCTTATAACCTTGTTTTGTTTTTGTTTTTGCAGTCAGGGATTGAACCTAGGTGCACTTTACCATTGAGCTACATTTCTAGCTCTTTTTAATTTTATTTATTTGTTTGTTTGTTTGTTTTATTGAGGATGGAACCCAGGGGCACTTTACCACTGAGCTATATCCCTAGTCCTTTTATTTATTTATTTATTTATTAATATATTTTTAAGATATTGAAGGCCCTTTATTTTATTCATTTATTTATATGTGGTGCTGAGAATCGAATTCAGTGCCTCACTCATGCTAGGCAAACGCTGTACCACAGAGCCACAACCCCAGCTGCCTTTTTATTTTTATTTTGAGACAGGTTTTAGAAGTTGCTCAGGGCCTTGCTAAGTTGCTGAGTATGGCCTTGAACTTTCTATCATCCTGCCTCAGCCTTCTGGATAGCTCAAAATAAGAGACAT